ATAGAATAGAATAGAATAGGAATAGAATAGAATAGGAATAGAATAGAATAGGAATAGGAATAGAATAGAATAGGAATAGAACAGAACAGGAATAGAATAGAATAGAATAGAATAGAATAGAATAGAATAGAACAGGACAGAACAGGACAGGAATTCGGAATATGGAACAGAAAAGAATTAGAATAGGAACAAGAAGAACGGAATGAAATAGGATGGAATGGAATACAAAATAGAAAACAGATTAGAAGAGAACAGAATAGGAATTAGAAGAACGGAATGGAATAGAATAGAAAATATGGAATGGAATGGAATAGAAAATAGAGACAGAATACAATGCGATACTGTACAATGCGACACAATACTTTATTTGGCCAAGTTCACGTTCCTCTTGAATTCATGTCACTGTTATGTTTCTGCTGGCCGACCCAGTTCACCCCCACGTAACACAACTGAGATCGCTGTATGCTAAAAGCAAATATTTTCCCTTCTTTTGGCAGACGTTCGTTCCTCCTTGAGTCTGCCTAACATTGGCTACTTTTCAACCAGGATCTGCACGTTTCCAGAATTCCCCCCATTTCCCCTTTTATGGGTAGTCCTCAACTTACGACCACAATTGAGTGGAATACCTGCCGCACTACGTGTATCCCCACAAAGGGCCTTTTCAGATGCACAGATGACTATCGGCATTTAGCATTAGCCCTTAGACTTACATCCTGCTTCACAGTGCTTGACAGCCCCCTCTAAGCCGTTTAGAGTCACCCTCTTGCCCCCCCGACAATCTGGGTCCTCATTTTACCCACCTCGGAAGGACGGAAGGCTGAGTCAACCTGGAGCCAGTCAGGATTGAACCGCTGGCTGCAGGCAGTTAGCCTGCAATACAGCACTCTAACCACTGTGTCACCCCAGTTGCCTTCCTTCCTTTTCCTTCCTTCTCGTCTTATTTCCCTTCCTTCCCCTTTCCTTTCCTTCCTTATCTTCCTTCCTTCTTCCCATTTTCCTTCCTTCCTTCTCATTTTTCCTTCCTGCTCATTTTTCCTTCCTTCCTTCCTTTTCTTCCTTCTCATATTTTCCT